GACCGGAATTGAACCTGGGACCTTTCAGTCCCCAGACCGACGCTCTACCACTGAGCCAAACCGGTTTCGGCTTTTATTTTATTTTATTTTCTGAATCCCTGGCCGCCTCCACTTAGAACCGGTTCATTCATCTCTCTTTTCGTGCTGGTCTCGGAAAAGAGAGAGATCCCGCCACACCTGGCCCACCCCCGCTGCATCTGGCCCCTGCACCTGTGCAAAGGCCTGCCCGTGCGGGAGGGTTCGGCGCTGTGGGGGGCTGAGCGGAGGGAGGAAGGGGTTGAGGGGCAGGTCACATGGGGCCGTGAGGGCCATGCAGGCGTCTGGTCTTTATCTCAAGGGCAATAGGGAGCCATGGAAGGGATGTGAGCAAGAAAGTGATGGCTCAGCCCTAACTGGTTTGGCTCAGTGGATAGAGCGTCGGCCTTCGTACTGAAGGATCCCAGGTTCGATCCCGGTCAAGGGCATGTACTTTGGTTGTGGGCACATCCCCGGTAGGAGGTGTGCAGGAGGCAGCCGGTTGATGTTTCTAGCTCTCTATCCCTCTCCCTTCCTCTCTGTAAAAAAAAAAAAAAAAAAAATTCAATAAAAAATATATTTTAAAAAAGAAAGTGACGGCTCCCAGGAGGAACTGAGGGAGAGGGAGGCTCAGGGAGACCCTGGGCTCTGTCTGCGGCTTGAGAAGCAGGTGGGAGTGGACCCCATGCCCCAGGCTGGGGACCAAGAAGAGAGGCAGGTTTTAGGGGAAATGGGGTGATCCCTGCACTGGAGACACAGAGGCGGGGAGGCCCAAGGGTGGGGGGCTCTGAGGGAGATCCCGGAGGCGCTGGTGAGAACACAATGTCGGGGCTCCCCAGGCAGAGCTGGGAGAGGGGGAAGGATCTAGGGCCCCCCAACTTTAGAAGAAACGGAGTCAGGCCAGAACGAGGCTACGGGGCATCCAGGAAAGCCAGCGCCCCAATGGCTGTTGACGGGAGAGAGGGGGGTCAGGCTAATGAGTCACATAGTTACTAGGTGACCTTGGGGGAGCGGGCAGGGACGTGGCTAAGGAATGTGAGAGGGCTGGGAAGGGAATGTGAGGCCAATCGTGTTTGGTAGCAGCTGTGTTCCCAGGGCTGGGGCGTGTCTCAGCCCTCCTCGGCCTCACGTTCAAGGGGGGGTGGTGGTGGAGGGGGTGGGGGGGAGAGAGGGAGCTTGGTAGCTGGATGGAGGAGAGAAAAAGGGCCTAAGCAGCTGAAACCGGTTTGGTTCAGTGGATAGAGCTTTGGTCTGCGGACTGAAAGGTCCCAGGTTCAATTCCTGTCAAGGGCATGTACCTTGGTTGTGGGCACATCCCCAGTAGGAGGTGTGTAGGAGGCGAGTGATTGATGTTTCTCTCTCATCGATGTTTCTGACTCTTTTTTAAAAAAATTAAATTATTATCTGTGTACATATTTTAACATTGCCCCCCCTCCCCCCAGTTTCTGACTCTTTATTCCTCTCTCTTCCTCTCTGTAAAAAAATCAATAAACTATATTTAAAAAAGAAAACAGAAATATGGCCTGAGCAGGGCCAGGGGTGAGGGCTGGGCGAGCCCCGGCCTGAGTGAGGGAGGGTTTCAAGGCTGATGAGTGAGGGGGGGAGGAGATGAATGTGTGTGTAGGGGGGGGTGGGGGGGGTCAGGGGGAGAGGCTAGAAGATTAGAATTCCACTCACCCCCGAGGCCCATATAGGCATGCTGCATCCTAAGGTTCTTATCTTAAGGGTTAGAAATTCTTTAAAAAAAAAAAAAAAAAATATATATATATATATATATATATATATATATATAATCAATTTTTTTTTTTTGCAGAGAGGAAGAGGGATAGAGAGCTAGAAACATTGACGAGAGAGAATCATCGACCGGAGATGTGCCCGCAACCAAGGTACATGCCCTTGGCCGGAATTGAACCCGGGACCTTTCAGTCCGCAGACCGACGCTCTATCGACTGAGCCACACCGGTTTCGGCTCTCCCTCCTTCTTTCTCTAAAAATCAATGAAAACATTTTCAAAACACACAGAAAGAAAAACCTGTGACGTGTTGCTAGCCAAGAAACAGAGCCTGGTGCTTGCCAGCTTCAGGGAGGGCGGGACTTCCCCATGCTGACGCCCCTGCTGGACCCCCGGGGCTGGGAGGAGAGGGCACTGAGCTTCCCGGGCCCTGATAGCATGACCATGGTGAGTGTCCATGTGGCATCGGAGTCAACTGGTGAGCGGCTCCCCTGGACTGAGAGTGGGGTGTGTGTGTGAGGAGGCTGAGAAGATGCAGCGAGCCCCAGAAGCAGTGTCTGCGGCAGACCCACCGGATTCTCCCCTCCCTTCCTCAGTGTCTGCGGGAGGAGCTGGCCGCCTCCAGGCCTGCCCCGGAGGCCACAGCCTGAGAGGGCCCAGGGCCCAGGTGTGTGGGCGCCAGGGGAGGGCTCCCCATGCCCTCCTTTCCCCCCCATCTCTCCCAGCCCCTGGCGGCCGGGGCGGGGGCTGCTGCGGCGTCCCTGGCCTCCTGGGAAGGCCGCTCCTGCACAGGACCTGGTGACCGGGGTGCAGCGCTGGGGTGCGGGTGCGAGGCCCCGTGGAGGCCCCTGCCATCCCTTCCTGCTTTGCCTCATTTCCTCATGGGCTTCCCTGACTAGGTCTCTCCCTCTCCAAACTCTGTCTCCCAAGTTCTGGTTGCTGCCCTCTGACTCTCAGACGCTATGCCCTCTTACCAGTGAGCCAACCCACCTCACCCACAAAAGCAACTGGCAGCTGAAACCGGTTTGGCTTAGTGGCTAGAGTGTCGGCCTGCGGACTGAAAGGTCCCAGGTTCGATTCCGGTCAAGGGCATGTACCTTGGTTGCGGGCACATCCCCAGTAGGGGGTGTGCAAGAGGCAGCTGATCGATGTTTCTCCCTCAGCGATGTTCCTAATTCTCTATCCCTCTCTCTTCCTCTCTGTAAAAAAATCAATAAAATACGCCGGGACCGGTTTGGCTCAATGGATAGAGCGTCGGCTTGGGGTCTGAAGGGTCCAGGGTTCAATTCCGGTCAAGGGCACGTACCTTGGTTTCGGGCATATTCCCAGTAGGGGGTGTGCAAGAGGCAGCTGGTCGATGACTCTCTCTCATGGATGTTTCTAACTCTGTATCTCTCTCCCTTCCTCTCTGTAAAAAAATCAATAAAATATAAAAAAATCAATAAAATATATATTAAAAAAAAAAAAAAAGCAATTGGCAGCCAGAAGGAGGAGGGCATCGTTCCATTTATTTTCAGTCCTTTGTGAGTCTGGCCACACCGCCGCCCGCCCCATCCCCCACCCCCGCATCCCCCTCGCCGTCCTGCTACCCAGCCCTGAGCATCCTGGACCCAAGGGGCTGCAGCTCCCAGCAGGCCTTGCAGCGGGAGCCTCTGGCCGGGGGCTCCAGGGAGATGTTGCAGGTTGGTTTCACCAGAGCCCCAGTGACAGGTCCGCAGGGGGAGGAAATTAAGGCCTAATTAGGAGATAATGCGGGAGGCGAGCCAAAGGCCAGCAGGGGAAAGGGGTTTGGGCCTCGCCGCCCGCGGAGCAGGAGGGTGGCCGGCGCCGAGAGAAATGAGGGCAGAGGATGCCTGATTTGGGAGGAGAGAAAACGGGCGGGTAGGAAACTGGGGGGGCGCGGCGCCCTCCGCCTAGGAGGGCTGACCCCGCACTGGCCCGGCGGGGCGCGGGCCCGGGCCCGGGCGGGGGTGGCACCCCGTGGGGTGGGGGTGGGGCCGCAGGGCCGCCGCGGATTGGCCGCCGCGGGGGGTGTGGGGGGAGCGGCGGGCTCTGATTGGCTGGGGCGGCCGCGCAGCCCGGCGGGCGCCACACCCCCGCGGCCCCCGGCGGGAGGCGAGGCGGAGGCAGCTCGGAATGTGCGCGGGTCCGGGCTGTTGGCGCCCAGGATTTGGGGGGCAGATGATGACCCCGAGCAGAACCGCGGGGGCAGAGCGGCTCAGGGCGGAGCCGGAGGTCACGGTCACCTGGCGCGGGAGTTGGGGCGCTCTGACCCGGGAGTTGGGGTGGCGCCAGAGCCACCAACGGGCCGCCTCCGCCTCCGGGCCCTGAACTCGGGGAGGGGCGTGACCAGGAAGTGCTGCCCGGGGGCCCGTCCACCTGAGACGCTCGGGATCAGTCGGGGACCGGAAACTTCCCGGCCCCCTGATGCTGAAGGGGGCTGGGAGGAGGCAGGGCGAGCCGCGTGCGCTGTTACCTCCTAGAAAAGTTACAAAAACAACGTGCAGCCGGGACCGGTTTGGCTCAATGGATGGAGCGTCGGCTTGGGGACTGAAGGGCCCGGGTTCGATTCCGGTCAGGGGCATGTACCTTGGTTGCGGGCACATCCCCAATAAATAGGGGGTGTGCAGGAGGCAGCTGATCGATGACTCTCTCTCATCGATGTTTCTGGCTCTCTATCTCTCTCCCTTCCTCGCTGTACAAAAACCAATAAAATATATTAAAAAAAAAAAACAACAACGTGCAGATCGCACTTCCCCGCGGCTTTTATTTGTAAATAAAGGACGCATTGAGCCCCTCCGGCCTCCCCGCCGCCCTCTCGGGGGCCTTTCCGTTCCCGTTCCCGGGGCGCCGCCGCCGGGTCTGAGCGGGGGATGGAGACCCGCGGGGGCCCGGCCTCCCCCCTCTCACTTCCGGCAGCTTTTCCGCTCGCGCCCGGAGGCCGAAGCCGATCCAAATGCCGCTTTGCCCGCGAGCAGCCTGGATGCGGGTGGAACTGACCCGGGTGGGGGCGGGGAGGACCGACCCCTTCCCCACCCCTCCCCCCCCGCCCCCCGGGGCCCGGCGCATGCGCACTGGGCGGGCCGGCGCGGGCGCGGGCGGCCGAGCGCCCGGGAGCGGGCGGGAGGGGGCCGGGGGGCGGGGAGCGGGTGGGAGGAAGCCGGTTGGGGAGGGGGGAGCCGGGGGGGGGCGGGCCCCGGGCGGGGCCGCGACCTCCTCCGCGGGGCGGGCGCTGCCACCCGCCGCAACGACCATGGCGGCGGCCGCGCTGGGCCAGGTGGGTGCGGGCGTCGCGCTTCCCCAGGGACCTCCCGCCTGCAAGCCCGCCCGCCGGCTCCTGGGCCGCTGCGGGGCGCCGAGGAGGAGGAGGAGGGGGAGGAGGAGGAGGAGGAGGAGGAGGAGGAGGAGGAGGAGGAGGAGGAGGAGAAGGAGGAGGAGGAGGAGGAGGAGGAGGAGGAGGAGGAGGAATGGGGGGCCGGGGGGGGGTCGGGAAGGAATGCGGGGCTTTAGGGGCGATGCGGAGCGGGGACCTGATTGGGGGGCTGGAGACCGGGCCCGGGGTCCGGGAGGGAGGAGGGGACCCTAACGGGAGAGGCCGGGGCCGGGGGGCTGGGAAGGGACCCGCGGGGAGCGGGGAGCGGGAGAGGGGCTCGGCGTCTATAGGGGAAGAGGGGGGGGGATGAAGGCGCGGAATGCACCCTCCGGGCTGGCCTGGGGATCGGGGTCAAGCCCCTCTCCTGTTGGCACTGACAGTGGAGGGAGATGTGGGCGGGGGTGTCCCCCGAACCCGTCATCTGAGCCCCGCAGCGGGTCGGTGACCGGGCTGCTCGCGGCCAGGCGGAGACAGCCCCCTCTTGCTGCGGGGCGAGCCTGCAGCGTTTCTGCAAAGCCTGTGGGCTTTGGAGATGGAGGCTTCTCAGGGGGAAAGGAAACAGTTACCAGTCTAGGAGGGAGGGGGAGGGCATTGCCACCCGCGGCCGCAGCTAATAACCTTGGGAGGACTGTGTGCTGCTAGCCTGGCCGGCCCGCCCGGTCCCCGAGCCCAGCCGATGGGCGGCGGGCCGGCCGGCGTGTCCTCCGGGGCTGCCTCCGGGGCTGCTGGGGCCGGGCCGGGCTGTGGCGGGGCGCCGGGGATCCTGGTGGGACTGGCAGGGACCGCCGGGCTCTCAGGCTGTGGAGAGCCTTGAGCTGTGGGGACCGTTCTGATCGGGGATGGGAGAGTCCTGTGCTCTAGTGTGGGGTCCCCCTTCTGTGTGTGTGTGTGTGTGTGTGTGTGTGTGTGTGTGTGTGTGTGATGTGGGGGGCTGGGGGCAGGCCTGCATGTGGAAGACAGTGCTGGACCAGGACAGAGACAGCCGTGGTGATGATGACACACCTGGGCCATGTGGGGAGGCAGCCCCGGATTGTGGTGGGGACAGTCCCGGCCGTAATGAGACACGGTGGAGGCTGCATATGATGTTACAGAGCCCGGCCCTGTGCATGCTGCCCCTGACCTTCCTCATTTCTTTTATATATATATATATATATATATATATATATATATATATATATATATATATATATATTAGCCCTGGCCGGTGTTGCTCAGTGGATAGAGCATCGGCCTGTGGACTAAAGGGTCCCGGGTTCGATTCCGGTCAAGGGCATGTACCTTGGTTGCGGGCACATCCCCAGTAAGAGGTGTGCAGGAGGCAGCTGATGGATATTTCTCTCTCATCAATGTTTCTGATGTTTCTTACTAGTATCTCTCCCCTTTTTTCTTTGTTAAAAAAAAATCAATAAAATATATTTTTAAAAATAAACATTTTTATTGATTTTTTTTTTTTTTTTTTTTTTACAGAGAGGAAAAGAGAGGGATAGACAGCTAGAAGCATCAATGAGAGAGAAACATCCATCAGCTGCCTCCCGCACATCCCCCACCGGGGATGTGCCCACAACTAAGACACAGGCCCCTGACAGGAATCGAACCCGGGACCCTTCAGTCTGAAGGCTGATGCTCCATCTACTGAGCCACACTTGATAGGGCCTTCCTCGCTTCTTAATTAGCCCCATGCTTTCACACTTTTGGTCCCAGATGCCCACCTGCCACCCCAGAGCCTCCTTTGGGTCCAACCCCTACGGCTTGGGGTGTCCGATGGTGGGGCACCTTCTCTCGGCCCCGAGAGGATGTCCTGGGAGGGTGAGGGCAGCTTCCCCAGGGTGCCGGGACTCTGGAGCTGCGCCCTGCACCTGCCCCGCCCTGTGGGTGTGTCTTTCTGCCCCAGGCATCTCTCTCTCCTCCACGTCTGTCTCTAAGCTTCTTGGAGACGGCGTCTCTCCCCTCCAGCCCTTCCTCCTCCCTCGTCTCTGTGGTCTCCCTTCCACTGAGGCTGAAGTGTGGGCTTCCGGGCTTCCTTTTTCCTCGTCCTCGCTCTCCGGACTCTCTGTATCCCACTCCGAATGTTTCCAGGTTTCCCAGGCTCTGCTTTCCCTGAGTTTCTCTCCCTCTTGTCTCTTGTCTCAGCCTCTCTCGCCCTAGTCTGTTTTGGCAACTCTTGGTCTTGTTTTCTATTCTTTCAAGTGAGTGTTTTCTATTTCTCTGTCTCTTTTTCTCATTCTTTAAAAAAAAAAATATATATATTTTATTGCCGAAACCGGTTTGACTCAGTGGATAGCGTGTCAGCCTGCTGACCGAAGAGTCCCAGGTTCGATTCCGATCAAGGGCATCTACCTCGGTTGCGGGCACATCGCCAGTAGGGGGTATGTAGGAGGCAGCTGATCGGTGTTTCTAACTCTCTATTTCTCTAACTCTCCCTTCCTCTCTGTAAAAAATCAATAAAATATATCTTTAAAATATATATTGTATTGATTTCTTACGGAGAGGAAAGGAGAGGGAAAGAGAGTTAGAAACATCGATAAGAGAGAAACATTGATCAACTGCCTCCTGCACACCCCCTACTGGCGATGTGCCCGAAACCTTGACTGGAATCGAACCAGGGACCCTTGAGTCCTCAGGCTGACACTCTATCCACTGAGCTAAACTGGTTTCAGCTCTTTTCCTCATTCTTACTCTTCCCTCTCTTTTCTTAATTTTAAAATTACTTTATTGTATTATTATTTTATTTTTTCCTCTCTTCAAGAAAAATATATTTTTTATTATTTTAGAGAGGAAGAGGAAGGGAGAAGGAGCTAGAAACATCAGTGAGGCCAAAACCGGTTTGGCTCAGTGGATAGAACGTCAGCCTCTGGACTGAAAGGTCCCAGGTTAGATTCCAGTCAAGGGCATGTACCTTGGTTGCGGGCACATCCCCAGTGGGGGGTGTGCAAGAGGCAGCTGATCGATGTTTCTCTCTCATCGGTGTTTCTTACTCTCTATCCCTCTCCCTTCCTCTCTATAAAAAAATCAATAAAATATATTTTTTTAAAAATCAGTGAGAATCATTGATCAGCTGCCTCGTGCACGCCCCCTACTGGGGACCCTGGGGCATGTGCCCTGAGCGGGAATGAGACCCTGACCTCCTGGTGCATAGGCTGCCACTGAACTTCTGAGCCACACCGGCCGGTTACTCTTCTCTGATACTCCTTTTACTCTCTTTTTATTATTATTATTATTTAAATATATATTTTATTAATTCTCCACAGAGAGCAAGAGAGAGGGATAGAGAGCTAGAAACATCAATGAGAGAGAATCATCGATCAGCTGCCTCTTGCACACCCGCCACTGGGAATGTGCCCGCCACCACGCCACATGCCCTTGACCGGAATCGAACCCGGGACCTTTCAGTCCGCAGGCCTACGCTCTATCCTCTGAGCCAACCCGGTTTTGGCTCCTCTTACTCTCTTATTCTTTTCCATTTTGGTTCCCCTCTCTCTCTCTCTCTCCTTGAGCTTCCCTCTCTTGCTCTCTTTCTTTCCCACCTCCGCTCCCTCTGAGCTGCCCCTGCCCTGCGTGCAGACTCCACGCTGTGGGTGTCCTGTTCCCTCCGGGGCCGCAGGCTCAGCAGGCCGCACACCGCCACCTAGAGGCCATGCGTGGGAGCACACCTGAGCCTGCCCGAAGCCGGTGCCCACGCTCTCAGGGCTGCTCCTCAGGCTTCATGGCCCAGACTTCCGGTCAAGGAAGCCCCGGGGCCCCTCTGCCCAAGACTCACCTGCGGACCAGCCGCGGCTGCCGTCCACATCCGTTCTCCCGCGTGGTGTCAGCTCCCCCGGCTCCCAGGAGCGGGCGCAGCCCCGCCGCCTTCCCCGGGGCTGGAGAAAGGCGCTGTGAGGCCCAGCACGCGGGGCAGAGGCCACCCTGCTGTGCACAGCCAGACCTGGGCGGTGTCCATCTGGCAGTGGCCACGGCCGGCTGGAGTGGCGGCCGCCAGGTCCGCATGGCTACCCCTCAGCGCTGGGACCGGAAGGGAACTGGATCCCTGGGGTCCAAAGCAAGCGTGGGGCTGGGGGCTTCAAGTCCTCTGAATCCAGTGGATCTAATACCCTGAACGAATATGGACTAGGACCCCTGGGTCTGAGGGAGGAGGGGCTGAGCCTGGACCCCTGGGTCTGAGGGAGGAGGGGCTGGGGGCCTGGACCCCTGGGTCTGAGGGAGGAGGGGCTGGGGGCCTGGACCCCTGGGTCTGAGGGAGGAGGGGCTGGGGGCCTGGACCCCTGGGTCTGAGGGAGGAGGGCTGGGGGCCTGGACCCCTGGGTCTGAGGGAGGAGGGGCTGGGGGCCTGGACCCCTGGGTCTGAGGGAGGAGGGGCTGGGGGCCTGGACCCCTGGGTCTGAGGGAGGAGGGGCTGGGGGCCTGGACCCCTGGGTCTGAGGGAGGAGGGGCTGGGGGCCTGGACCCCTGGGTCTGAGGGAGGAGGGGCTGGGGGCCTGGACCCCTGGGTCTGAGGGAGGAGGGGCTGGGGGCCTGGACCCCTGGGTCTGAGGGAGGAGGGGCTGGGGGCCTGGACCCCTGGGTCTGAGGGAGGAGGGGCTGGGGGCCTGGACCCCTGGGTCTGAGGGAGGAGGGGCTGGGGGCCTGGACCCCTGGGTCTGAGGGAGGAGGGGCTGGGGGCCTGGACCCCTGGGTCTGAGGGAGGAGGGGCTGGGGGCCTGGACCCCTGGGTCTGAGGGAGGAGGGCTGGGGGCCTGGACCCCTGGGTCTGAGGGAGGAGGGGCTGGGGGCCTGGACCCCTGGGTCTGAGGGAGGAGGGGCTGGGGGCCTGGACCCCTGGGTCTGAGGGAGGAGGGGCTGGGGGCCTGGACCCCTGGGTCTGAGGGAGGAGGGGCTGGGGGCCTGGACCCCTGGGTCTGAGGGAGGAGGGGCTGGGGGCCTGGACCCCTGGGTCTGAGGGAGGAGGGGCTGGGGGCCTGGACCCCTGGGTCTGAGGGAGGAGGGGCTGGGGGCCTGGACCCCTGGGTCTGAGGGAGGAGGGGCTGGGGGCCTGGACCCCTGGGTCTGAGGGAGGAGGGGCTGGGGGCCTGGACCCCTGGGTCTGAGGGAGGAGGGGCTGGGGGCCTGGACCCCTGGGTCTGAGGGAGGAGGGGCTGGGGGCCTGGACCCCTGGGTCTGAGGGAGGAGGGGCTGGGGGCCTGGACCCCTGGGTCTGAGGGAGGAGGGGCTGGGGGCCTGGACCCCTGGGTCTGAGGGAGGAGGGGCTGGGGGCCTGGACCCCTGGGTCTGAGGGAGGAGGGGCTGGGGGCCTGGACCCCTGGGTCTGAGGGAGGAGGGGCTGGGGGCCTGGACCCCTGGGTCTGAGGGAGGAGGGGCTGGGGGCCTGGACCCCTGGGTCTGAGGGAGGAGGGGCTGGGGGCCTGGACCCCTGGGTCTGAGGGAGGAGGGGCTGGGGGCCTGGACCTCTGGGTCTGAGGGAGGAGGGGCTGGGGGCCTGGACCCCTGGGTCTGAGGGAGGAGGGGCTGGGGGCCTGGACCCCTGGATCTGAGGGAGGAGGGGCTGGGGGCCTGGACCCCTGGGTCTGAGGGAGGAGGGAGGAGGGGTATAGATCCTGGGTTCTGGGGGAGCCTGACCTTAGGTCCCCCACTCTTATCGGGGTTTGAGCCCCCCGGCGAGGCCCTCACTTACCTGAGCACTTTCCCTTGCCGGCTTCTGTCTGAGCTGGTCTCGGGGCCGGGGCCAAAGTTCCCGGGGGGGAGGCGCCTGCGTTTGACTTTGCCCGCATGGAGGCGGGCGCGGGGGCTGACTCAGCTCTTTCCTTGGTGGCCCTCGCGGGGGCAGGGGAAGACCTGGCCACGCCCATGGACCCTCACCGGCCCAGGCCTGGAAAGAAAGATGGGGGGGGCCTCCCACGTGAAGGAGGCAGCCAAGGACCGCCCCCCCCCCCCCCCCCCGCCTCACCACCTTTCCTCTGTCCCCACCCCAGATCTGGGCCCGGAAACTTCTCCCTGTCCCCTGGCTTCTGTGTGGCCCCAGAAGATATGCCTCATCCAGCTTCAAGGTAGAAGGAAGGACCCCCAGGGAGAGGGGCTGGGGCCTGGGCTGCGGGGTCTGAGGGAGGAGGGGCTGAAGGTGGGATTTGGGAATCTCCAAAAGGCCCAGGGTTCAAAGGTCAAGGTGGGCAGCACCAGTGGTCGGCAAACTCATCCGTCAACAGCACAGCGATGGAAATTTCCTTGGAGAGCCACATTTTTTAAATGTAAACTTCTAAGGCCACTTCTTCAACATAGACTCGCCCAGGCCGTGGTATCTTGTGGAAGAGCCACACTCAAGGGACCATAGAGCTGCCTGTGGCTCTCGAGCCGCAGTTTGCCCACCACGGGGCTAGCCTGATTGCCTGCCACCAGGCTGTGGGAAAGAGTTGAAACTGCACGTCCCAGAAGCCTCTGGAGCCACAGGACCCTCTTCTGGCTGGGTCTTAGTCGCAGGGCTTCATGGGAGTTGTAGTCCCCCCCCAGTCTGGAGGTTGTGGCAGATTCCAGGGTCCCCGGGTCCCCTCTCTTTTCTCAGGCTGCAGACCTGCAGCTGGAGATGACGCAGAAGCCTCGCCAGAAGCCTGGCCCCAACGAGACCCTGGTGTTCGGGAAGACGTTCACCGACCACATGCTGATGGTGGAGTGGGCCGAGCAGACGGGCTGGAGCCAGCCCAGAATCCAGCCCTTCCAGAACCTCTCGCTGCACCCGGCCTGCTCCGCCCTCCACTACTCGCTGCAGGTGGCATGGCGGCCGAGCTCTGTCCCTCGTCCCCCCCATATCTTCCCTCCTGCTGTGTCTGTTGCTGGGGCCACCTTGCTGGGTCTGCTTCTAGTGTCCTCTTTCTGTGTCTTCCTCATCTGTTCCCTGAGGCTCCCCGTGTCCCTGGGCCTGGGCTGACTGACACTGAGGTCCCCAAGAGGGGCAGATCCAGTTCCTTCACTTGAAAACCCCACCACTTGCCTGGCCAGTTTGGCTCAGTGGTTAGGGCATCGGTGGGTATGATTCTAGTCAAGGGCATGGGCCTCGGTTGCAGGCTCGACCCTCAGCCCCAGTCGGGGTGCATGTGGGAAGCAAACAATCAGTGTGTCTCTCTCACACTGATGTTTCTCTCTCTCTCTGTCTCTCCCTTCCACTCTTTTAAAAAAAATATATATATTTTATTGATTTTTTTTTTTTACAAAGAGGAAGGGGGAGGGATAGAGAGTTAGAAACATTGAAGAGAGAGAAACATTGACCAGCTGCCTTCTGCCTCCCCCCCCCCCCCACTGGGGATGTGCCTGAAACCAAGATACATGCCCTTGACTGGAATCGAACCTGGGACCTTTCAGTTCACAGGCCGACACTCTATCCACTGAGCCACACCGGTTTCGACTCCCTCCCTTCCGCTCTTGCCAAAAAAAAAAAAAAAAAAAAAAAAAAAAGGAAAATTATCCTCCAGTGAGGACTTAAAAAAAAAATAAATAAAAGAAGAAGAAGAAAGAAAGAAAAGAAAGCCCAGAATTTGGTTACCAGCTAGTGTGACCTGAGCCCTGATGGAGGCGGCCAGGGCACTGTGGGAAGGCAGAGGAGGGACCCAATTCAACCTCTCACTTGAAAGGAAATGGGGTCCGTCTGGGCAAAGAGGAGAAGGGAGGATAGTAGAGGGAGGGGGGACAGCCAGTGCAGAGGCATGGCACAAAGCAGAGCCTGGCTCACCTTGGGGAACTGTGGACTGGAGCCCGGGGCAGAGGTGGAGGGTGCCATCAGGGCCACGGAGGCTCCGAGCAGGCAGGCGCGGAGCAGGGCCAGCACTGGGCACCGGGAGACCCTCTCGGGGCCTGTGGAGGGCCAGGTGGAGCGGGAGACGGGAGGCCTGGGGGCCGGGCTGGGGCAGAGGCTCGGGTGGGAGTAAACAGGCAGGTGGGGAGGCCGCGCTGGGGCCGGAGCTGGGAGCTGGACAGGAAGAGACAGGGCGAAGGCATCGGGGCCTGAGGGATTGGCAGGCTGCAGGAGGGAAGAGGGAGGCATGGATGGTGCCCAGAGGTTTGGCTGGGTGACCAGGAGGCCCGTGGATTGCGAGCATATAGGGACTTGGGAGGCCGGTCGGCTCTCAGGGCTGGTGGGGGCCTGAGGGGAGAGAGCCAGAGCATTTGGCTTGCGGCTTAAAGCTCTGGCTGAGCTCGGTCTCCCTGCAGAGACTTTAGTTGGGACGGGACTTGCATGAACCTATTCCAGCTCTAGTAGCTGGTTTGCGGTTTGAGTAGTTGTTGTTCCTTTGGAGCTGGTTCTGTGGCATGAGGCATGCTTTTCTCTTAAGAATTTTGAGGGCTTTCCCCCCCCCCCCCAACCCCTCCCCTCTGGACGTTTGACTAGAACCAGCCAACTCTGAGCAGGGAGACAGCCGTGGGTGGCAGTTAGAAGCTCAGGATGGACAGTGGGGATTTTGACCACAAGGAGGTGCTTTCTGGAAACTACCATTTATTTATCTCTCTGCCTTCCGGCTGTGGACCCAGCACGCACTCCTGGTTATTCTACTTATTTCTGCCTTCTTTGGCTGATTCTTGTATGTGCCTCCATCAGGGATTGAACCTGCAACGTTGGCAGGTGGGGGAACGATGCTCTAACCAGCTGCGCTACTCCCACCCGATCATCAGCTCTACCAGCAGCCCGGCAGCTCCATCCTGCTCCCCTCACCCTGGACCCTGCACCCCCCGCCCTGGGCCCCTGCACCCTTGTCTCTGCTCTCTCTCTGGCTTTCTCCAGTGTCTCTGGCTCTCCCCCGCCTCCTCTGTGTGCTCAGTGGCTGGTCTCGACCCAGCTCTGCCTCTGGCCCTGTTTGCTGGTGCATTCGTGCGTGCGTGTGTTGTGTGTGTGTGTGTGTGTGTGGTGTATGTGTGTGTGTGTGTGTGTGTGTGCGGTGCATGTATGTGTGTGTATGTGCGTGTGTGTGGTGTATGTGTGTGTGTGTGTGTGTGTGTGCCTCCCTGATCTCTGCGCGCCCCCTGTCCCCGCAGCTCTTTGAGGGCATGAAGGCGTTCAAGGGCAGCGACCGGCAGGTGCGGCTGTTCCGGCCCTGGCTCAACATGGACCGCATGCTGCGCTCGGCGCTGCGCCTCTGCCTGCCGGTGAGGCCGGGGCCGGGGCCGGGGCCGGGCGGGGGGCGGTGAGGCCGGGGCGGGCGGGGGGCGGTGAGGCCGGGGCCGGGGGCGGGGGCGCCGGGCCTGATCGCGGGTCCCTGCAGAGCTTCGACAAGGCCGAGCTGCTGGAGTGCATCCGCCGGCTGGTGGCCGTGGACAAGGACTGGGTCCCCGACAGCGCGGGCGGCAGCCTGTACATCCGGCCGGTGCTGCTGGGCAACGAGGTGGGCCCGGGCCTCCCTGCGGGGGGGGGCGGGGACCGGACCGGGCGGGGACCGGACCTGCCGGGCGGGCTGCGGGCCTGGCCCCCTCCGGGCCCTGACGCCCCCCCCCCCCCCGCAGCCCTCCCTGGGGGTGGCCAGCGCCAGCCGCGCGCTCCTGTACGTCATCCTGTGCCCCGTGGGCTCCTACTTCCCCGGCGACGCCCTGAGCCCCGTGTCCCTCCTGGCCGACCCCGCCTTCATCCGCGCCTGGGTGGGCGGCGTCGGCGACTGCAAGCTGGGCGGGTGAGTGCCCCCCTCTCCCCTCTGCTCCCCTCTCCCTCCCCCCCTGCACCCCTGGCCCCCTGGAAGGGGATGTGGCGTCCATGCTTTGGGGTGTCCCTGGAAGGCCAGGGCCCTCCCCGTCCCGCTGCACATGGTTGGGGCAGCTGTGCCCACACATGGGTGTGACGTCATTGGCACCTGGTGGTGAGGGCGGGGGCGGGGGCGGGGTCAGAGAGGAAACCAGGGTTGGCCTTGGGAAGCCCCAGCAATCAGGTTTGCACTCAGTCCATTGGTGTCGCCCCATTAATCCCCAGCGCCCAGCTCCCGGCCCCTCCCCAGCACCCAGGCCCGCCCCCTCCCCAGCACCCAGGCCCGCCCCCTCCCCAGCACCCAGCTCCCGCCCCGGCCCGCAGTGCCCCTCACCTGCGGGGGTTCCCTGGGTCCCACTGTCACCTGGCCCTCTGCTGGGGGCCGCAGGGAGGGCTGGGGGGACGGTGGAGGCAGAGGAGGGGGTGCCGGGTGTAGGGACAGCGAGTGTGGCCGCAGCCCGGGGTTCGCTCAGGCCCTCTGAGGCGGACTGGAGTGGAGCTGGGGCTCGGCCGCCGTGGGAGCCCCTGTCCAGTGTCCGGGGGGCGGGCTCGGGGGTGCGGGGCGCTGTCGCCCTCACAGGGGAGGGGCGGCCTCGGGAGCCCGCGGGTGGGAGGAGGCGCCCGGGTGCAGACGCGGAGAACAGCCGCCCAGCGGGACCAGCGGCCGGAGGGCGGCCAGGAGCTGTCCGGCGGGAAACAGTCCTGGTCAGAGCAGGAGGGCTGTGGTCTTCTTTCCTTTTTCTTTTTCAAAATATGTTTTTGCTGATTTCAGAGAAGGGAGAGGGAGAGAGAGAAACATCCACATGGATCGGCTGCCCTCCACTGGGGACCAACCCCACATCCTCTCCGAAGTCAATAAAAAAGTATTTTTCTAAAAAGCGAAAAAACAAAAAGAAAAGGTGACCCGGACATGGGAGGACGGACTACTGAGAGCCTTGGCCCCAAGCAGCGGTCCTGGGGCCTGGGGGGGGGAGGGAGCGGTGGGGGGTAGAAGGGGGGGACGGGGGGACTGAGAGTTGGGGAGTAGCAGGTGGGCCCTGGTGTGGGAAGGCCCACTGAGGGCCATGCTGGGGTCCCCCTGCCCCCGGCGATCACGCTGTCCCCCGCCAGGAACTACGGGCCCACAGTGTTTGTGCAGCAGGAGGCGAAGAAGAAGGGCTGCGAGCAGGTGCTCTGGCTGTACGGGCCCGACCACCAGCTCACTGAGGTGGGCACCATGAACATCTTCATCTACTGGACCCACGAGGACGGGGGTGAGACCCCCCGCCGCCCCCCAGCCCCCCCTCCACCCCCCGCCCCCCAGGGCCCTGCTGGAAGCGGGTGGTGCAGTCCTGGCAGAGGGCGGGTCTCGGGGGTTGGGGGGCTGACTCCTGAGCGGCCGGAGGGGCGTGAGGGTGTGAGGTGACCCCCCCATCCTCGCCCCTGACCCAGTGCTGGAGCTGGTGACCCCGCCGCTGGAGGGGGTCATCCTGCCCGGAGTGGTGAGACAGAGCCTGCTGGACCTGGCCCGCTCCTGGGTGAGGCGGGGGCCGGGAGGGGGCATGGGCGGGGGGGTGGGGGCACACTGGTTGGTCTCTGTCCCCCTCCTCTGGGCCTCTGCTGTCCGTCTCCCCCTTGGGTCTCTGTCTCTTTCCCTCCCCCCTCCCCCTCCCCACCCCGCCCCCTCCCCCTCCCCCCGTCCTCACGGTGCGCCCGGCCGCAGGGCGAGTTCCGCGTGGTGGAGCGGAACATCACCATGAAGGAGCTCCAGCGAGCCCTGCAGGAGGGCCGCGTGCGGGAAGTCTTCGGCTCGGGCACCGCCTGCCAGGTGTGCCCGGTGCACCGGGTGCTGTACCAGGGCCAGGTGAGTGGCTGCCGGGGGTGGGGAGCCCGCGGGGAGGGGAGGGGCCGGTCCTCACGCGCCTCTTCCCAGGACCTCCACATCCCCACCATGGACCACGGGCCCGAGCTCATCCTCCGCTTCCAGAAGGAGCTGAAGGCCATCCAGGTGAGGCTGCTGGCCGGTTCCCACCTTCACCCCAGTAATCCCAGGAGGTGACCTGCCCCCCACACACACACTGGCCTGGGCCCTGCAGCCTGTGGCCAAGGACCCTCTCCCTGAGCCTCCGCGGCCCCGGGTGTCCTTCCCACAAGCCTCTGGGACCTGGAGCCACGGGAGGCCACCCCCCGCGGATGCCCTGGAGCCCGGCTGTCCCTGTGGCGCTGGGCCTGCGGTGGCCGGGGCAGGGCTGCTTCCTCTCATAACCCCTGGAAGCGTGTCCCTACACGGGGCCACACAGCATCCTTCCTGCGAATCTCCCAGAGCTGCCTGGCCCGTGAGCTGTGGCCGGTGCATGGGGTGCAGAGAGTAATGTGACCAGGTGTCCCGCTTTTGGCGTGGCAGCCCCGATTTTTAACAATTCGTTCCGAGTCCTGCGGCGTTTTATTTATTTTTAAAATATATTTTATTGATTTTTTTTTTTACAGAGAGGAAGGGAGAGGGATAGAGAGTTAGAAACATCGATGGGAGAGAATCATTGATCAGCTGCCTCCTGCACACCCCCTACTGGGGATGTGTCCGCAACCAAGGTACATGCCCTTGACGGGAATCGAACCCGGGACCTTTCAGGCCACAGGCGGATGCTCTATCCACCGGTTTCGGCTCCCGCGGCGTTTTTTAAAAAAGTCCCGATCCCCCCCCCCAAAAAAAAATCTGGACTTTTTTAAAACGCCGCGGGACACATTGTTAAAAATCGGGACGTCTGGTCACTCAGCGTAGAGCTGCACTTCTCCCCGTTATTCCCCCGTCAGCTCTCAGGGCCTGACAGTAACTCCTCTGCAGGACTACATCTCCCGTGAGCCTCTGCGCCACCTTTGCAGCGATTGGCCCTTCCCCCTCCCCGTACTTGGAGGCGTCTCCTAGGAGCCACCTGGGACGCCCCCGCCCGCGGGAGCCCAGGGTGGCTCCTCCCCTCACGCTCTGCCTCTGTCGCCCGCAGTACGGAGCCAAGGCCCACGAGTGGGCGCTGCAGGTGTGACGCCGCCGGCTGCCCGTCCGGCCCGCGGACCCGCCGGCGCTGCGTAGCCTCCAGCCGCAGCCGGATGCTCACCTCCCTACCAATGACTCCACCTCAAGTGCAATATGAAAGGCCAGGCCGGGGGCCGGGACGCCTGGGTCTCGGGCGCCCCCTCGTGGCCGCTACACTCCCAAAGCCATAAGGGCCGGGCCCAGGCGCCTGGGCCCAGCTCCGCCTGGGCCGAGGGTCAGGGATACACCTTGGCCCGACTCTGCACCTCTCCTCCGTTCTCAGGCCGGACCTCCCTAGTGCTGCCGTTGATTTCTTCTTCTTGCTGGAATTTTGAAATAAAAATGCCAAATATAAGACTCGGGCTGCCATCTTCAGTCTTATGACCACTCAGGCCTCCAGGGTCTCTTCACCAGGATTCGTTTTCCATCCGCGCCCCCATGCCCTGGCGGCTCCTCTGACGTGGGAAAGTCTTCCTTCATCACTAACTAAACTTAGCTTCTCCCCCCCACACACACACCCTTGGTGGGGACAGTCCCATGGTACATGCGGTCACTACACTTAGGGTGAAGAAGAGAATTTGGGGGTGTCCATACTTATTTCAGATAACACTGCCTAGAGATAAACTCTTATAAAAAGAATCCCCAGTAACTGACGGGGAAGTGAGTTCACTTCCCTGAGCCTCCGTTTTCTCATAAAAAAAAAAAAAAAAAAAAAAAAAAATATATATATATATATATATATATATATATATATATATATAATTGATTTTTTTTTACAGAGGAAGGGAGAGGAATAGAGAGTTAGAAACATTGATGAGAGAGAGACATCGATCAGCTGCCTCCTGCACACCCCCCACCAGGGATATGCCCACAACCAAGGTACATGCCCTTGATCAGAATCGATCCTGGGACCTTTCAGTCCGCAGGCCGATGCTCTATCCACTGAGCCAAGCCAGTTTCGGCTATGTGAACATTTTTATTGGTTTCTAACAAAACAACAGCAACAACAAAAACTTATCCATAATGACTCCCAAAAAATCAGATTAGTCTAATTTGTGAATGGTATGTACCAATTCTAAGTCAATGAATGACTAAGTCAAGAATATTAATAGCCGAGACTGGTTTGGCTCAATGGATAGAGCGTCGGCTTGGGGACTGAGGGGTCCCGGGTTCGATTCCGGTCAAGGGCATGTACCTTGGTTGCGGGCATATCCCCAGTAGAGGGTGTGCAAGAGGCAGCTGATCAATGACTCTCTCTCATCGATGTTTCTAACTCTCTATCTCTCTCCCTTCCTTTCTGTACAAAATCAATAAAATATATATTAAAAAATATATATATATCTATTAAAAAAGAATATTAATAAAATAAATTCTGTTCTATTCAGGAACACCTAGTATTTTGCTATATAAAAATAGTGATGAAAAGTATTCACTTATGTACATATCTTCCTTGTTATAAGAAAAAACAATGAACAATAAGATTAAATCGCCGAAACCGGTTTGGCTCAGTGGATAGAGCGTCGGCCTGCGGACTGAAAGGTCCCGGGTTCGGTTCCGGTCAAGGGCATGTACCTTGGTTGCGGCCACATCCCCAGTAGGGGGTGTGCAAGAGTCAGCTGATGGATGATTCTTTCTCATGGATGTTTCTAACTCTCTAGCCCTCTCTCTTCCTCTCTGTAAAAAATCAATAAAAATATATATATATTAAAAAAAAAAAAAAGATTAAATCGAGCCCTAGCTGGTTTTGCTCAGTGGATAGAGGGTCAGCTGGCGATCTGAAGGGTCCTGGGTTCTATTCTGGTCAAAGGCGTTTAGGCTTGATCCCCAGTAGGGGGCATGCAAGAGGCAGCTGGTGAATGTTTCTCTCTCATTAGTGTTTTTAACTATTCCTCTCCCTTCCTCTTGGTAAAATCAATCAAATATATTTAAGAAAGGAAAACACGATTACATTGAGGCTTCCAGAAAAAGAGAAAGCTAAAGGGTTCATCACCCCCAAACCAGTATGACAAGAATTACTCCAGGGACTTCTTAAAGAAGAAAAAAAAAATTTGCAAATCAAATATCTGATAAGGATCGTTCTCTGTTATCTATAAGACGGAGGTATTAACAGTACCTCCCTCAGGTACGGAGGATTAAACCGGACAGTTGTGCCTGGAGCACTGTCCGGGACAGCTGGCCCTGGAGGCTCTGGGTCGGAGGTCAGCAAACTCATTTGTCAACAGAGATAAATATCAACACAACGATTGAAATTTCTTTGGAGAGCCAAATATTTTAAACTTCTTCTAGCGCCACTTCTTCAAAATAGACTCGCCCAGGCCGTGGTATTTTGTGGGCCAAAGAGCCGCATGTGACTCACGAGCCACAGTTTGCTGACCACTGCAGCGGACCACTGAGGCTGCCAACACCCCCAGGCCCTGGATGTGTGCGACTGAGACAGGGAGCAGAGGGACTGGCCGGTCCCCACACGGGGGGAGCCAGCCACCGCCCCGGACCTTCGCATCTCCTTCTCCCTTCTCCACCTGCTAATGTATTAGTCATTAGGCTGCCAGTGTATTAGTCATGGACTGCCGCGTAACAAGTCACCCCAAACCCTCACCGCTGACCGTAACACGCATGTCCTGCCTGTGTCCCAGGGTCTCTGAGGGTCTGCGTGCCGAGCGGCGTCACCAGGGGGTTCTGCCTCCGGCTGTCTCGTGAGCTCCGGCCAAGCTGTGTGACCAGAACCCCAACCACCTGGAGGCTCAACGGCTAAACCAGTGGTGGGCAAACCGTGGCTCGAGAGCCACATGCGGCTCTTTGGCCCCTTGAGTGTGGCTCTCCCACAAAATACCACGTGCAGGCGTGCACGTCCAGTGCGAGTGAAACTTCGTGGCCCGTGGCAGAAGTCGGTTTTCGGCCCGGGCGGGTCTAACTTGAAGAAGTGGTTCTTAACGCTGAGCCATATTCAAGGGGCCAAAGAGCCACATGTGGCTCGAGAGCCACGGTTTGCCGACCACTGGGCTAAACAGTTCCTTTCCAAGCTCACTCAGCTGGCTGCTGGCTGGAGGCCTCAGTTCCTTGCTGCCAGGTGGCCTCTCCATTGGAGGTTTGGGCATCATCATGGCACACCAGCTAGTCTCTTCCAGAGAGAGAGAGAGAGAGAGAGAGAGAGGGAGAGAGAAGCAGCCATAGTCTTTTAAAAATATATATTTTTATTGATTTCAGAGAGAGGAAGGGAGAAGACAGAGATAGAAGCACCAAGGATGAGAGAGAATCATTGATTGGCTGCTTCCTGCATGACCCCTCCTGTGAATCAAACCCACAACCCGGGCATGTGCTCTCGACTGGAATCGAACCTGGGACTCCTCAGTCTCTATCCTTTGAGCCAAAGCAGCTAGGACCAGCCAGCGTATATAATAAAATGTAATATGCAAATTGTCCCCTCAACTGGGAGTTCAAACAGGTGCCGGCCAACTGCCTGCACCCCCACCGCCCTCCCTACTCTGATTGGGGGCGGGGCCAGCCCACCAACCATCTGCGGCCCCTCCCCCCAGCCCGCGGGGCCTGATGGTTCCCAATCAGATCTGGCCAGCAGGACCCAACCCTGCACGAATTTGTGCACGGGGCCTCTACTAGTCTTTATAACTTGCTGAGCGGTAATACCATGCCCTCTCCTATGCCACAGGTCACACAGACCAACCTGAGAGCACTCTGGGAGAGGACAGAGGACGGCGCAGCAAGTGGCTATTAGGAGGCGGGGATTGTTAGGGTTCATCTCGGAGTCTGGCTGAATTTGGGGAGTCGTGTGTGAAGACAACACAGCTCCCATCAGCCTGGGTTCTGCCCTCTGCCCCTCTGCCGACGGGACTGCACAGGAAGTTTGGAATGAGCGTCCATAGTGGACGCTGTGGGTGTTTCAGGTCACCTCGGTGTTATCTCGTACAGGGACCCATGGCCCGCGGGCCAGGATGTAGACGGTTGAACTGAGCAGGTAGCACTCTGTGACTGCACTGGGTGTGTATGTAACGCTGATAAAAAGAATAAATACCAAAAAAGGGAAACAACCCCCATCAGCTCAATAGAAGGAAGGCATGGGGAGGGAGGGGGGGAGGGAATAATACGCTCTTTGAACTCCACACGGATCAAAGATTTCAGAGGGAAATAAAAAAAAGATTTCCATGGAACATGTGACACCATAAAAGAAGGAGAAGTAAACACTAGAAAGTTCCTTTACAGCCTGGGTGTGGAGAGAAGCTTTTGAACTCAGAATCCAAAAGCCATTAAAACACACACACAAACACACATACAAACATACATGCACAAAACAAACAAACAAACAAAACAGAGAGCCGAAACCGGTGTGACTCAGTGGATAGAGCGTCAGTCTGCAGACTGAAAGGTCCCAGGTTCGATTCCGGTCAAGGGCATGGGCCTTGGTTGCGGGCACATCCCCAGTGGGGAGTGTGCAGGAGGCAGCTGATCGATGTTTCTCCCTCATCGATGTTTCTAACTCTCTATCCCTCTCTCTTCCTCTCTGTAAAAAATCAATAAGATATAAAAAAAAAAAATTTTAAAAAAAAACAGAGAAAAAACCAAACACACAGAAACACTGAAACGTTTAAATGCACAAATAGGATCACACATTCTTTCTCTTCCCTTTCCTTCCCTTTCCTTTCCTTCCTGAACAAGATAGTCTGAAGGCCCTGGACCGAGGAGGCCAGGCCCTCTGGGGGTGGGGTGGGACCAGAACGGGGGTCAGGACCACAGAGGGTGTGGAGGGCACCCACTCACATGGCAGCTGAGCACAGAGCGCAGTGGGAGAGAGGAGTGGAAGCCCACGCTGAGTGAGGAGGGTTTGGGACAGGGCGGAGGAGGGGATGGGGAACACACAGGGAATTAATAAAAAAAAAACAATTTAGGGAAAATGGACGTCAGATTCCTCAGGTCTGGAGAAGGGGTATAAGTATGGAAAGGGAGCAAGTTGAATTGGGTACAGCATTACAAATTCACAGTTTTCTTTCTTTTAAAAAA